TTTTATATATATTTACAAATTAGTGAACCAAACTCGATCTTTAAATCTTTCAATTGAAGATCGAGACAAAAGTCATGTACCTTTGATTTCTCATTTTTCAATGTGGAGATTGGAGACCCTAATTCATTTTGGAGACCCAGACCCTAATTCATTTCTCATATCCACTTACTTTCAATTTATATACCGACTCTTAAATAGAGATCAACTACTACCATTTGCCATCTACTGTCGCACCTACGATCGTCAGATGGAATTCTGAAATTGAAGCCTCAACCTTCAATTCTTCTTCCTCCTCAAATGTTATTTTCATTTTTTCTCGATCAGTAATGAAACTAGAACCAAACCAAACCAAATCGGAACCGAATGGTTAAATTACAGTTTGGTTCCATATCTTAAAAAAACCCATTTGATTCCATTATCAAAAAAGTCATTAGTTCATAATTCGATTTGGTTCTCTTGGAACCAGAACCAAATGGAACCATGTCCACCTCCAGTTGGCACCGTAATTCTCCTCTTCAAATTTCTTTCTCCATTGTCTTTCATATTCTTGTTACTTTCAGATTCCTTCAATAAGAATCTGGAAAGTATTTTTCATTTCATTTTTTTGTGAAACCTTTAGTTTGGGACATAGTTTAAAACATTTGATTGACTTCATATGGCTTCCTCAGATTATTCACTGGCATGCTTTCATGTAGATCTCACAGGTAATGATTTATTGCATAACAAGTTGCGACCTAGAATATTTAGGTTTTGTTGAATGAGTTACTAATTTAGCCACTGTTTTATGGGGATTAAAATCAGTTTTTTAGTAGATTTTGATAATAGTTGATGAAATGTTTGGTTGAAAAGTTGTGGGTCCCATAAAATGTGTGGTTAAAATGAATTGTTGACTTAGAGTTACCAATCATGTCTGGTTTTAAATTTCTGCAACTACTAATGGGGTTACATATCAAGTAGTTTGGCACAAAGACGATCTACTTATTAATATGCGCTCTAAAATGACAGAAACTTATTGGGATTGAAACATTATTTTGAAAGGAAAATTGGATTAGATGTGATATCAAAATTTTGGCCATATGTATTCTTTCTGTTAGCGTTCTAACAACTCTTACTTATTCCCTGCGCTTGTTTTTCTTCTTGATCAAAGATCATCCAGCTTGCTTGTAGTTCTATTATTTATTTCTCTCGTATCAATATGTACAATTTTAGTTAAATTTCAATTTTGTTATTCTGGATGATATTTTGTATTGTGCATTTCTTATTAAAGGCGTCCACTGCATGTGTTCTAACTTCTCATAGAGTGAATAGTCAGCATGTGGATGTTCTGCCTTATTTGGTCTATACCCTATGTTGTCATCCGTGCATATGCTGTTGATTCTACACTGTGGAAGGTCTTGTGTGCAGATCACGGATCTGTGCGTTCCTCTTCTTTTACTTCAGATGTTAAAAATATTCTTTAAATGACGTCTAGTTTTCTGTAGCAAGAAAGATGCAGAAAGTATCGCTCTTTTTTATTGCATCAAAGAATTTTAATATATTGTATAAGTGGTGTCATTTTTGCTTTTAAATTCACAGGGTTATCTTTTTAGATGTCTTTGTGAAATGTTTACAATTTTGAAAGGTATAATCTATAGTTAATATTACTCTAGTATCACAAATTTTGTCGGTACGAGTTATGACAATGTATACTGATGTTTCAGGCTCTTGATACTTTCAACACAGCAATTGTTTCTCCGATATATTATGTCATGTTCACTACCCTTACAATCTTTGCTAGTGTTATCATGTTTAAGGTAATATGAACTCACTTGTGTTATCTTCGATTGGATGTATTGTTTTTGGACCCTTTTCTAGCATATTTTTGTTTAGAGGATGGGTAAGGCGATGATGAGCAACTTCAAAATTGATTTTTCTTCCATTTGCAAATGACATCATGCATATATAACTAATTTTGAAAGTAATTTTTCTAGTCTTAACATACTTCCTAGAAAAGTAAAGACTCTCGAAAGCAAGTTGCTCATTAGGGTGGGTAGAAATCTAACATTGACAACAACATTCTGACATGATCAAGTCAATTACCCTTACCATCCAGGCTGAAGTGCCTCCCTTGCAAAACCTTTGTTTCTAAAACAAGTAACTTTTTAACTTGTGTCTGGCAAAAATGAAGTATAAAAGTAACTTTTACTTTTTTCAAGCTTAACCAAACATGAGATCTATTGAGGCCCAAATCTGAAGGTGAGTGCTATGCATAGATTATTTAATGGCTTGATGTATCTGATTTTCTATTCAAACATTTATGCATCACAGTGAAAAACCTGTAAATTAGGTCAGACTTAGAAGAAGAATTGCCAAGCATATCAGTATACCAAGCGACCTCCTAAATCCAAAAAATCTTTTAGTGGGCATTTTCCCATCAACTCGGGATCAAATTGATTATGGAAGCCTGAGTTTAGTTAGTCGAATTATAAGTGAAGAAGGAAAAAGACCTTGAAACAGCGACCATTGCTGTAAAACAAGCTCATGTTCTATCTTTGTTACACTTCTCCAATAAATTGAAAAAACAAGAGTCTATAGCTAGAATTACTAGTCTTAGAACCCGAGATAAGTAGGCTTGTTCTTTATCCATCCATAAGCACTATAAAGAAAAGAATAATACTTTGTGTACAATCCATGGTTGACAAGGAAGTTGACAATCCATGTTAATTCAAATTCGAATGGGCGAACTATATGGAATCTCAAAATTCCAGCAAAAGTACGCAACTTTCTCTGGCGAGCATCACAACTAGTACTTCCTANATTCGAATGGGCAGGAAAGTGTGTAGTGTTTAAAAACTAGCCACTTAACCTTCAACATGTGGCACATTGTCAAACTTGATGTAAAAAAATTGTACTTGTAGCATGGTTGTAAAGAAAAACCTAATGCTTAGTCGGAAAACTATATTGAACAACATATTCTAATGATGCTAACTATAGTGGATTGTCATGTTCCAGGATTGGGAAAACCAAGATGCAGGAAGCATTATTTCAGAAATATGTGGCTTTGTTGTAGTGCTCTCTGGAACCATCTTGTTGCATGCTATGAAAGACTTCGAGAGATCTTCATCTTTCAGAGGTATAGTATACTTTCTGTCTTTGTTTTGTAAATTCACACCTACTGATATTAATTGCCTCGAGCTTTCGTGCATAAAAATCATTGTCAATTGCAGGTAATTATACTCCTTTATCCCCTTCATTATCAACCCAACTTTGTGCTGGAAACGCAGAGTTTTTGATGCATGATGAGGAAGACAGGTTGTGTTCTGAAGAAGCCTGCGCAAGGCGGCAAGAACTCTACACTTAGAGAACATAATTCTGCCGAGGAAACCAAACTTGAAAAATTAATATTCAAAGGGATGAAGGAGATGCATGGATTATATTTCACATTGCAATTTTAAGTCCAAAACAATGGCATTGGGGAATTTTCACAAATTTATTTCATCTGATAATTGAACAACATAGTCAGGATATTGTTTGTAGCACACCAACAGATTTCAATATTCTCAACACGGGAGTATGTGGAAAGCATCATATAATGCTGGCTTCACGTCTTGTATATAGGTAGAGTTGTGATCAAAACCATTGGAAACCGAGATCTTAGTAAGAGATGCAAGCTTCTAGATTGTTCGAAACTGTTTGTGCTGATAATTTATAAGCGAAGTGGCCAGAGCTGACTGGAGACTGGGCTTCCATTTTTATTTGGACGGGAATTACAGTAGTTTGGATTCAAGAATATAGTATCTGTTTGGTATTGTTCATTCTTCTGGTCATGTTTGTATGGAAGATATTAGGAAAAATTGCAGCCACGGTGCCAAACCTTTCATTTTGTTGTAGATTTGATCCAAACCTTTCATTTGAACAATCTACGGTACCCAACCTTTCAAAATTTTGCACTTGAAGTCCAAAGGGATGGAAACCGTTAGTTTGACTATTAATCGACTCAAAAAATTGATTTTGACCAATTGTAAGATGGGTTAAATGGTAACATTGAAATAAAATAAAACAAAAAATCAAAAAGTTATCCACCCCACACCCACTGGATAATCTTCAAATTAGACGGGTATATTAAATCCTTTTGAGTTTTATAGAAAAATTTATTTTACCCTTAATGAAATGAATTTCTTTATTGCATAACCTATCTTTCTTTTATGAATAATTTTTAGAGATTAGTCTCTTATATAAGTAAATTTATTCTTTCATCCAATAAATTAGTATATTCTGCTGATTCTAATCATTCTTTGTATATTCTAAAGATTCTTTTAATTTAGAAAAATATAATCTATTATTTATTA